TCGTTGTGTTTAGGGCCCGTCTATATAATCCAGAATGGTCTCACCTTGAGATCCTTAACATTAAATTATATCTGCAAAGACCCTTTTCCCAAATAAGGTCACATTTATAGGTTCTAGGGGTTAGGATGTAAACATATGTTTCAGCCCACTACAGCATGCACATGTTATATAAATGAGATCACCCAAGGAGACAACAGAGCAGAAAAAGAAAAGGGCCTAAGACTGTGCCTGGAGGAATTCTAATGTTTATTCACTGTGCCATGTAGAATTTCACTGCACAGCAATAAAGTCCATTGACTAAAAAGTTTCTTTAGAGCTATGCATGGTGGCTCATGCTTGTAATCCCAGCAATCTGGAAGGCCAAGGCCAGAGGATTGTGTGAGGCCAAGAGTTTAAGACTAGCCTGAGCAACATAGCAAGATCCCATCACTAAAATAATAAAAGATAAAAATAAATAAGTTAAAAGTTCTTTGCGAGTCTGAGATCATTATCAATTAAAAACTCCTGAAATTTTTCATCTATTCATCATTCTCACCTGTTACCCACTTGTTCAAATACAGCCGCCTACAATCTCTTTTCTCATATTCTTCTGCCCAGTATACTTAGCACTCAATTAGCACTCTCACTGATTGCTTTCTAAATGTTCAGCATGCATTAGTCTTAGTACGCTCCCTGAGGGCAGGTTCTGCATATTCTATTCCCTGGTATTTCCCCACAGCATTCAATATAGGACTGGTCGCATGACAAATATCCACTAGATATTTGTTGATTAGTAAGGGCTGTATTAGTTTTGCTATTATTATAATTAGTTTTGTATTATTAATTTTCTAATATTGCTACTAAATCACAATTTAGTGGATTAAAACAACATGAACTTATTACCTTATAGTTAATAAATTAGAAGCCCAGCACAGGTCTCACTGTGCTGGAAATCAGTGCATGGACCGGACCAGGTGTGTTCCTTTCTGGAGACTGTAAGGGATAATCTGTTTCTTTACCTTTTCCAGTCTTTGGAGTCTTGCAACTTGCATTCCTCTACTTGTGGTCCCTTCTCTTTCTTCAAAACCAGCAAAAGCAGGTCAGGCTCTTACATCTCAGCACTCAGATCTCCTCTTTTGTCCTTCTCTTCTAATTATATGGAAATTTGTGATTACATTCGACCTACCCTGATAAGCCAACATACCTTCTCTATTTTAAAGTCAGAGCATTAGCAATCTTAATGCCATCTGCAACCTAAATTTCTTTTGCCATTTAGGTAACAGTTCCAAGGATTAAGATATGGACATCTTGGAGGAGGGCAGTCATCATTCTGTCTTCCTCAAGTTCATTCAAACTTACTAATTAAATTACATGGCCAACATGTTGGCCTTTGAACATAGGCTCTCAGGAAATAGACTTTCCTTCCCACGTCCATGAGCAGGAAGACTTCTAAACAAAAGAATGAAGATTGATTGCTTCACAATGACTACTTATCAGACAGCAGAGAAAGAACAAGTGCTAACAGGGGGCTCCTGGTATAGACTGTAGGTGTCTACTGAGCCTCAGAGTCTTGAAAACCCTGTGCCATTCAAGTTTCCTCAGCATTTACCTCAAAGTTGTGTGGTCGGGTACCAAGCAAATACAGTGACCATATGATTTATCATCTAAATCAGGACACCATTAACAGTGAAAGGGGTATAACAGGTGTAAGGTCAGTGTGTGGTCACCCTAAAAGAGGTAGAGAGTGCAGTCAGAATGAAGAAAGTCCTTTTAACCTGGTGGTTGGGGCCAGGAAGGGTGAAGACTGTCTCATTTCTGCATGAGACACTTGTTTTTTGTCCCTAGTCATTAGTTTGGGATCAATTCAGACACATGTGGAGTGCTGGGGTCTGGGACAGCTCTACTCTGAGAACTGTCACCTTGGATTCTCCTTGCCTCACCCTTCAAAAGTTCAACACATTCCAAAATGCTTGTTTGCATTTAGATAGTGTCTTGTCTTGTCAAAGCACTTTCACACATTCCTTTGAAACTTCACAATAGTTATATGAGGCAGGACAGGAAGATGCACCTTGACCTTTCCATTTTGCAGAAGAAGAAGATGAAGCTGGATGCAGAGGAGTCGAATGGCTTTCCCAAGGCCACAGAAATGTTTAAACCTGGAATCCAAACTACCTCAATCCTGGTCACAGTCCAAGGTTCTTTTTCCCACACTGCCATACTCTGGATGGTTGGTATCACCCCGTATTTGTAATCATATTAGTCAGAAGTCTGGAAGAACCAGCTAGCTTGCTGTCACCTTCTCAAGGGCCTACTTGAGACTTTCCTCTGAGTCTTAAAGGAAAATGATGTAAACACTGAGATGTCCTCTCTCCAATTTGACTTTCAAATGGGCTAAAGAAACATTCAAAGCATGTGTTCTTTGCCCTCTAGCTACTCCGGAGACAGAACTGTTCCCATCTCCATTCTCTACCTGGTGGCTGCAGCAGCATCTTTGAATAAGGACAATGACACTTTTGATATATAAAATGTAATTTGCCTTCCTTTCATTAACAAACACTTTTCCAGAGAGCAAATCTCATAGCTCAGGCAAATGTGAAAGTATTGCCTATCTACCTGTGGATTATATAAATCTACACTGTCTCCTCCAGCAGAAGGTGATAAGAATTGATGGATGTAAAGTGATACAAGATTAGTAGCACATTATAAATAAAGCTAACACTTTTTCATCATTTGGGCTTAAATCAGGAGAGAAGACACAGGAAAACATTTTATTCTGCCCTTAAAGCAATCAAATTTGTAGGTTTGAAAAGCAAGGAGTATTTCCTTCCATTGATTGTTTCCAAAATGCAAAAAGGAGGGGTGGTCATGGAGGGTACCGGGGACTAACATTTAGGTTATGTTAGCAGAATCAATAACTAAATTTGTGAGGATTGCTTTGCCAACATTGGAAGTTCAAATAGGGAGGAAGGGCTTGTAGGAAGCAGAGGTGATGTTGCATAAGAAGGCAAAATCAGACCAAAGCTCTTAGTATTCACTGTTCACTGCCAATGTTTCCACTCATTTATTTAAGACATAACCATTGAATGCACACTATGTTCCAGGCACCGCTCTATATCCTAGTCAAAAAAAAAAAAAAGAAAGAAAGAAAGAAAAAGAAAAGAAAAAAGAAAAAGAAAACACCACTTAGAGTTTTTGAAATAGAGGGAGTTTAGAAAATGTGTCCAGTTGTGAAGAACATGAAAGCTTAATCCAAAATAGTCAGGTCAAAAAATTCCAGATTCTGGGCAATTGTATAAGGCCATTTATTGGAGAAAATATACTTGCAGGAGAGACTGGAAGAAGAATTGCCAGAGCTCTGGGTTCAAAGACAGCTCTGTCTCTGTGGTCTTATCTCTAAGAGGGGCGCATACCTTCACAGTTTCTCAATGACCCTCCCAGGCTGGTGTTTAAAGATTACAAGTTGCTACGGCTGGTTCTGCTCATGGAAAATAGTGTTAGGAGAAATGGAGACCTACATGATATAGGGAAAAGGGGACCATACTTAAAGATTTCAAGCAAAATGTTAAGTTTACTGGCTAACATGAAAAAGAACCAAATCATGTCCTTTGCAGCAACACGACGCAGCTGGAGGCCATCATCCTAAGCAAATTAACACATAAATGGAAACAAAACATCCCATGTTCTCACTTATAAGTGAGAGCTAAACCCTAGGCACAATTACAAGCATAAATATGGGAACTGACACTGGGGACTCCAAAAGGTGGGAGGGAGGGAGGGGTAAGTCATACAAAACTTCCTATGGGGTACCATGCTCGCTCTCTGGGGACAGAATCAGTGGAAACCCAAACCTCAGCATCACACAAAATACCCTTGTAACAAACCCCCACATGTACCCTCTGAATCTAAAATTTAAATTTAAAAATTTTTAAAAAGAATTCAGGGAATGAAATAATTAGAATTTCCCATAATTAGTCATTTGTTTTATCTCACAGTACACACACAACAGACTCGGAATAAAAATACTAATCTACTATCAATATGATTATTTAAGACATTAAAATAAATCTTTCTGCATATGTCAAAAAATAAGTTTGTTGGCTAAAATGTTTGAGTATTAGGATATTTAGATGTGGTGTATTTAAGCATCAGGATGCTTATTATCTTAAACTGGTTCATTGACAGTTCCAGCCTTAAATATACCCACAGCTCTTCCTCTTTCAAAGCCTGAGTTAACATCCTGCCCCACAACTGTTCCATCCATTGGTTTTGCCTCTGTTCCTCCATGCCAGAAAACAGCTCATGAGTTGTCTGACAAGCACCTTTGAGTCTGGTCCTATGGACTGTCTTCCCATGCCTGGCACGACCCACATGGCTACAGGATTCTGATACTTTCTCTGTGCTGTTGCCTTCGCTCCCTCCCCTCCCCATCATTCTGTCAGAGCCCTCCCCCTAATTCCCACACATTCTTCAAGTCCTTCCTGCCCCTCCCAGTCATAACAAATCCCTTTGCCCTGTGGTCTCTCCCTTCTCTGACAACCTCCATTTGCTCACTTGTTTTCATTGGCTTTATGTCCATCTTCCCACTAGACTAGAAGTTCTGTGAAGGCAAATGGCTCCAACCAGCTCCGTGCATAATCCATAGCAGAAGCACACTAGTCATGGGGTGAAGTTAAGTATGTGATAGGTGCCCCTCCTCTGTATTCTCAGGAAACCTGTGCTTAGCACTGTTACAGCACATGCACACACATGCAGACACACAACAGTGTAGTCACCTTACTAGTCGTTTTCCTCCACGGAGGGGAGAGTGTATCTTTCATCTTTGTGTCCCTACTGGCTGCCCAGGCAACAGACATGAAGTAAATTTTTTAAACCCAACATTAGTTCTTAAAAACTATGATTCATTCTGTGCTCATCTTAAGCAATAACAGTTGGCTTAACTATCAGAGGAAGTAGGCCAAACATAAGCCATCTCTAAACTTAAGCCTTTCCATTCCAAAAGTTGGCATTATTATCCTTAATAGGACTGGACTCAAAGTGTGGCAAATGGTACCCCCAAGACTGGGTGGCTCAGAATTGGTCTCAGGCCAAATTCTGCCATGGTGGCTGAATTTGATTCCTTATTCATCTCGGACTCGTATGAAAAGTGCACAAGCAAGCAGAAGAACTTTTTGGACACCTGCTGTGAGCTAGCATCATCTGTATCCAGAAGAATAGACAGTTGGTCTTTCCCAGGCAAGTATTAAGTTTGGAAGACAGGACTAATCTACAGTGAAGGCCTGAAGCACAGGAAACATCTGAACACCATGTAACGTGCTGGAAATGAGGGAACAGCCATCATTTAAGTCATTGCTGTGACTCTATAATGCCTCTGGGGAGATTGAAGAAATCACCTCTCCACTCCCAGGAGCCTTCTGACATAGTTTCAGCCAGTGGACTCCAGCTAATGCAGCTAATTCAGTTCCAGAGAAGCAGATGCAAGGCATTTTCCTCTCCTCCGCTAGCATGAATTTGTTGGCCTTCTGATGTGGCCAATACTTGCCTTTAAAGTTAGCTTTCTAAAGAGACTTTATTTTACCAGCTTTGAAGATTTTAAACCATATATTTTCAAAATACAGTGATTCTGACAATACCAAGTGTTGGCATGGATATGGAGCACCTGGAACTCACATTTCTCATGGGAATACAAAATGGTGTGGCCACTGAGGGAAACAGTTTGGCAATTTTTAAGAAAGTTAAACATAAATGATCCAGCAGTCTCACTCCTAAGAATTTAACTAAGGAAAAAGAAAATATTATAAAGACTTGTACATGAATGTTCATACCAACTTTATGCATAATAACTAATATAGAAATAATCCAAATACTCATCTGCAGGTGAATGGATTGTAGTATGTAAAATATAAAGGAACAAACCTCTGAAACACACAATAGCACAGATGACTTTCAAAAACATTAAGGTGAGTGAATGAAGTCAAACACAAATTAATACTGATTGTATGACCTATTTACATAAAATTCCAGAAAAGGTAAACTCAATCAATAGTGGCAGAAAGCAAATCTCTGATTGCCTGGGTGGGGTCAGGGTTGGGTGTTTACTGGGAAGCAGATGATGGAAATGTTAATGTTTTAATTATCATGGTGGTTATGTAATTATATAAGTTTTTCAAGATTCATTTGACACTTATATTGGTATTGGATGCATTTTATTGTATGTAAATTATGCCTCAACAAAGTTTTAGGGGGTTTTTTTAAGAGTCAATTTTGGCTACATTTAAAAAAGGCCTTTTAGTTTATAATTATCTTAGGACCAGAGATAATTTTTAAAAACTGAATAATAAATAAAGTCTGGGAAACCCCGTTCATTACAGAAAACTTGCCTTTTGTTGTTAATGATTCATTTCCCACTCATCAGCTTTAAAACACAGCTTCTTTGGCAATCTAATGTTGAATAATTATTAGGAATGTGACCCAAATGTTGCATAAAGACTTCTCTAAAGGGTTATTGTAATGGGAGATTTCCATTTTATGAGAACATGAGTGAAGTGGGGTCATGATTAAATGAGTCTCATTGCCCTCCCACATGACTGACAAGTTGGTACATCTACATGAGTGATTTCATTCAGGAATTCATTTCTCTAGGAAATCTCCAAGAGGAAGTCAATGAACTGCCTCATCAATATTTAATCAGGTGGGTTCTTTACCTAGTTGGTTGATTGAGTTCCTTCCAGGGAAATTCTGTCTTTAAATCACAAAACACCATGTTTTAAGAATGGTGGATGAAATTTTGCATGGTAGTTTTTACTAAGAAAGGCAGAATGCAGAAGTTAACAGCATGGGCTCTGAAAATCTAGCTGCCTGGTCAACTCTGGGCTTCTCATCAATGATGTGACATTAGGCTACAAAATCAAGCTCTCTAAGCCTTGCTTCCTCCTGTGTAAAATGAGAATATAATATGGATGTGCCTGTAGGATTACTAGGTGGTCTCAGCGAGATATTACATTTAGCATGGTGCTAGGTACACGGTTATATCCTTATTTTTATTATTCTATTTATTAATTATTATTATAAAGAACTCAGAGTACTTCACAGACCATCTAAGCTTTAGCAAAGAATAGGTGACATAATGACTATTTAGCTACAAGAGAAAATGGAGAGAAACACATTATTTGACTTACTATGGGTCATATTAATTAATGAATCTGAGTCTCTGGACTTTTCCTTAAACAGTCTGTCATTCAAATATTCAAACTTTGTTTTAAACATATTTTTTAAATGAATATTAAATTAGCTTCATGACTGAGGGAGGAGAATCGCTTGAACTCAAGAGGTGAAAATTGCAGTGAGCCGAGATCATGCCACTGCACTCCAGCCTGGGCGACAGAGCGAGACTCTGTCTCAAAAAAAAAAAAAAAATAGCTTCATGATCCCACACACAAAGCAGGTGAGTGGGAGAGAAAGGTGATTGGATGTTTCAGATGGAGGTAAAGGAAATAAACAATACTGTTTGGTTCAAGGATTGAACCAAGTTTGAAAGAAAAAAACTTGGGGAATACCTGAACAGTAAATACCTGAACAGTAAACCATGAAATTAATTTGATTAGTGAACTACTGTTTGGCACCTCTATCTCTCCTCCTGAAACATTCCAACCTCTTCCAGTAGAGTGAAAATAGACCTTAAAGTTGTATCTAAATATGTCAATTTCCAATCAAGATATAGCATTGACTTAGAAAAGTAAGTGATAAGTAATAATATTCTGAAATGTTAACAGGAGTTGCATTTTGATTGCTATTAAATGTGAAGGTTGGCAAAGCTAACTTCCTACCTGTTATACTTTGGAGCCAATTGTTCCCTAAAGGCTCAGTCCATTTCGGAGTCTGATACCCACCAGGACTCTACTCTTTATGAATCATGCCAAAGCAGGTGTATGTTTCAGAGGAAGGTAAAAGAAATGGAAACAATCCTGTTTGGTTCCAGATTTCCCTAGAGAAAATGTTTGCCTGATCATTTAAGGGTGGAAAAAAAGCATACTTTTCTGCTACATTTAAAGAAAGAATAAGAAAGCATAAAAATATCCTCTTAGGTGTCTCATAATTTTTTCCCCTGGTTTTAGGATTGCTTGCAAAACCCTTAGATAAAAAATGGAATTCTCTTAGAATGCTTATCAAAGATTTAAAATTACACAATTTCAACAATGACAAAAAAAAACTCCCTAAATTTAGTACAAGTTTCACAACAGGGAAAAATCCAATTGGTAGCAGAAAGTAAATAGGTTTCTTTTCATTAAACTAGTGTTAATAGTAGTTATGATACACTCTATACTCTCTTTTGGTTATGCAATTTACATTCTTGCTGAAATTTAGTAAATTTTTCTACATGAAAGTTGTAAATTTTAGTTCATTTAAGAAAACTAGACAGCTTCCGCAGCTTCCCACGGGACGAGCTGATGCCGCTCGAGTCGGCCTACCGGCACGCGCTGGACAAGTATAGTGGCGAGCACTGGGCTGAGAGCGTGGGCTACCTGGAGATCAGCCTGCGGCTGCACCGCCTGCTGCGCGACAGCGAGGCCTTCTGCCACCGCAACTGCAGCGCCGCGCCGCAGCCCGAGCCCGCCTCCGGCCTCGCCAGCTATCCAGAGCTGCGCCTCTTCGGGGGCCTGCTGCGCCGCGCGCACTGCCTCAAGCGCTGCAAGCAAGGCCTGCCAGCCTTCCGCCAGTCCCAGCCCAGCCGCGAGGTGCTGGCGGACTTCCAGCGCCGCGAGCCCTACAAGTTCCTGCAGTTCGCCTACTTCAAGGCAAATAATCTCCCCAAAGCCATCGCAGCTGCTCACACCTTTCTACTGAAGCATCCTGATGATGAAATGATGAAGAGGAACATGGCGTATTATAAGAGCCTGCCTGGTGCCGAGGACTACATTAAAGACCTGGAAACCAAGTCGTATGAGAGCCTGTTCATCCGAGCAGTGCGAGCGTACAATGGTGAGAACTGGAGAACATCCATCACAGACATGGAGCTGGCCCTTCCCGACTTCTTCAAAGCCTTTTACGAGTGTCTCGCGGCCTGTGAGGGTTCCAGGGAGATCAAGGACTTCAAGGATTTCTACCTTTCCATAGCAGATCATTATATAGAAGTTCTGGAATGCAAAATACAGTGTGAAGAGAACCTCACCCCAGTTATAGGAGGCTATCCAGTTGAGAAATTTGTGGCTACCATGTATCATTACTTGCAGTTTGCCTATTATAAGTTGAACGACCTGAAGAATGCAGCCCCCTGTGCAGTCAGCTACCTGCTCTTTGATCAGAATGACAAGGTCATGCAGCAGAACCTGGTGTATTACCAGTACCACAGGGACACTTGGGGCCTCTCGGATGAGCACTTCCAGCCCAGACCTGAAGCAGTTCAGTTCTTTAACGTGACCACACTCCAGAAGGAGCTGTATGACTTTGCTAAGGAAAATATAATGGATGACGATGAGGGAGAAGTTGTGGAATACGTGGATGACCTCTTAGAACTGGAGGAGACCAGCTAGCCCGCAGCAACCTAAGAGACTTCCTCCTGACGTTCAGGAAACACAGATTCTTCGTCCTTTTCCCAACAGCCCAGGCTGTTGATACCTCAGAGCCTTCCCTTTACTCTCCGAAGTGAAAGGGAAGCCCCCATCTCTCTCACTACATGTCACCAGGGGTGAGCCTGCCTTTCCCGTCTTCACACCTGCCACCTCGTGTTCACACCTATCTTTCTTACCTTCTTTTTGAGATGGAGTCTCGCTCTGTCGCCCAGGCTGGAGTCCTTTGGCACGTTCTCGGCTCACTGCAATCTCTGCTTCCTGGGTTCAAGCGATTCTCCTGCCTCAGCCTCCCAAGTACCTGGGATTACGGGCATGTGCCACCACGCCTGGCTAATTTTGTATTTTCAGTAGAGACGGGGTTTCGCCATGTTGGCCAGGCTGGTCTTGAACTCTTGACTTCAGGTGATCCACCTGCCTTGGCCTTCCACAGTGCTGGGATTACAGGTGTGAGCCACCGTGCCCGGCCTCTTTCTCACCTTTACACCTGTCTTCTTATCCTCACATCTGTTTTCACACCTTCACCCCTGTCTTTCTCATGTTCACACTTGTCTTCCCCGTGTTCATACCTGCCTTTCTCACCATTTTGGTTTGAAGGACAGTCTTCTCTGGCTTGTTTTTTTGTTTTGTTTCTTTTTTTTTCCCCCAGAAAATCAGTATTATTTTTTAAATAAGAAAAACATTCCTAAAAGATAATTGTGAAAACCAAAAAAAAAAAAAAAAAAGAAAACTAAATTCCAGAAACTGCCAAATGCCAGATATTGATCTCTCTACATTTCTCTGCATTCTACACTCTCAGCAAAATGAAGTTATTTCCAGTTCTCTCTCATAGCCATTTGACAGTCCTATTTCGTCTGCATGGACCTCTCTTCCATCCTTCTTCATCTAGCTAATTCACATTCTTTCAGGATGCCTTCCCCACATACCCTGACATTCTGCCTATGTGGGATTGGCTCCTTCTACATGGTTCTGTCTTCCTCCAACCAAGAATGTACCCATCTCTTGTGTTATATTCCCTCCAGAGAGCAAATTCTGTCATCCTTAACTTCCTGCCACTTGCAAAGACTTTTCAACAGTTAGTACATGAGTTAACAAATGTCTCTCCCATTAACTTAAAATATATTGGTCCTTTTCACAGAGCACACCCCGCCACCTCACCTGCGAGAGCTTTGCCAACTCCTCCAATCAAGTTGTTTAGTGTCCCCGTGCTTTTGGAACTGTTCTCTCCATGACCTTTAGCCCTATTCAACACTAAACCCATTAACTGGTTTATCTCACAGATGTCCCCAAATTAGAATACTTTTTCTGGTCATGGATTTTTCTGGGGAGGGGTGCAAAAAATCAAGAGCAGATTTTGTAGCCTGACTCAGAGATTACTTTGATTGCTTTACTTGGCATTGACTTGCTCCTTGAGTTCCAGTCAAATACTTCATTAATGAGTTCATCCAAATGGCTGGTTTATGAAGATGGCAGTATTGGGGAGCTTGGGGGTACAGAAGAAGTCGCAGCTTCCCTCAGAACTCTGAATAGGAAAAAGTCTTCTCTTATTCACCACTCTCTTCATGGCACATACTGGGGGCCCTGCCCCATGCACAGCCTGTACTGAAAGTCTAGGGGTTGAACCATGTTTTTATAACATTAATTCTGTGAGGGAAAAATGATCCAGGGTTTAAATAATTGACTTCTAAATTTACTTCTGGAACCCAGTCTGCTGCCTGTATAGAAATGGAATAGAATGGAATGGCATGGAACGGAATGAAGAGGGATGGGCTAGGATAGGCAAGGCTAGGACAGGATAATATAGGATAGGAAATGACTCCAGTATTTGCATCAAAAGTGAACTGTTAGGGTTCCTCAAGGAGCAGCAGTATAAGAAATAGATTTTATAAACCACCACTTTTAGGTAGCACTAACATCTGAAGCATGTTGCTAAGTTCTTAGCGCCTTGAGCACAATAGACCCTTAATGTAAAGTTGTTGTCATAGACAATCAATAGGCACTATAAAAGGCAGTGCAGAGTCCGCTAAGTACCAGTGTATATCCTATCTACAGTTCCTTTGCCTGGGAACACTAGTGGAAATCAGAGAGTGAAGAAGCAATGTTCAAGCAAATGGAGCGGAGTTTTAAAGAAGGCAGCCCAGAAATGTCTGATCTAGAAGGGTCTCTGCCATTGTCCCTTTCCCTCTCCCCTGGATCCTCTCTGGGTGGTCTTTTCCAGTTGCCTCCTCTGTACTAAGAATCTATAGCTTCATCCCAAACTTCCATCCTTCTCCCATATTTATGGTTATCAGCACCCTCCCTGAGCTCCCTTGTTAGGGCAGCAGCGTAACTGGCATTGCTTTGCCATCCTGATCTCTCCCTCCTCTGTTCATCCCATTTTCAATCTGGCACAGTGTTCTGATGACTTCACCTCCTTCGAATCTCTTAAACCCCAAATGATTGCCTCGTGAGGCACTTAGCCATGTAACAGCAGGTCCTGACTTCTATCCTCCAGAAGTCGCTTTCCTTTGGTATATTTAAGGGAAGGTGGTTCCTTTCATATCACTTTGGAGTCAGTCGACCTTGCTGCCTGTTTCTCAGCTATTGCCTGGCTCCTAACTTGCTCCTGTCCCTGCCTGGGGCCTCTGCTCACATTCTGCTGGTCACTCCTGAGTTTCCAGAACCTGTGACTTTCCTAGGCATGCTGGCCCAGCGGAGGGGTGATGCCTAAAACCTGAATACCCGCCTCATCTTCTCATCCCAAGCCCACACATTGCCCATAATTTCGTTCCCCAAAGCACCACTCACACCAGCCAATGTTTATAACAGATTGTTACTGAAGACTTTGGAATAATGAAAGGATGGATGACACATTCAGCACAGGTCAGCAAACAACTCAAAATTATACAAGTCACCATTTGTCTGTGAGCTTACCCCTGCTCCAGGGAACTTCTGACTCCATCACAGCCAACACACAGCATTCTTAGGGCCCCATCCCCTTCTTTATACTGACCACAGCCCAGTCTCCCACTGCTCCCCTGTGTTTTAGGGTCTTCACAAAACTCATCTTTCAGTGCCAGAAGAAAAGAAATCGTTCTTGTGATTTTATTGTGTGAACAATTTAATTAGACTGTTTCCTGAAGGGGTCTACCCTTTCTAGTTGATGAAGTGCCCCAGAACCCTAGAAAGAGACACTGCTGCAGTCATTTCTTCTTTAAAGCAATCTCTTTGTTTTCTTTTTCTGCATGTCTTTCTTCTCGATTCTTCCAGCCCCTGAGTCAGTCCAGGCTCTCATTAATGTCACCACTTGCTGGCTTGCCTGTCTCCCATTTCATTTCACTGAGCCCCCCTCGCTGTCCCATCTCCCACTCTGACACCAGATTCATCTTTCAAAGTCTAACAGGTCATTTCCTTGTTCTAAATCTTCAACAGTTCCAGCTCCATTGCAGAAACATCTTAGCCTGCATGGCCCCTGAGTCTGTGACTGGGTCCTGGAAGCCCTTGACTTCACTCTTATTAAGGTCCTGATCATTTCCCTAACAGGTCACAGGTACACCTGCTTGAATTTTCACGTGCCCTCAAGAGCTCCATCTCATCCTTCAAAATTCAGCTCAACCCTCACTTTCTTTGTCAAATGCTCCCAGGTCCTCATCAGGATTAGCAGTTCTGCTTTTCTGCAGGGCCATTGCTCACCTCTATTAGTTTCTAGCAAATGGCTTAGACCAATTTGTTTATGTTCCTGCCTTATTTACAACACACTTTACTCCCAAGAGGAAGACTCTGCCTTTTCCCCCTTGGATACCCTGTGTCCTGCACTGCACTTACCATAAAATGAACAAATGTTTGCTGGGTTAAATAATTGATTTATTTATGAATAAATAATATGGAAGAGTCTGGAAACATGAAGGAGAGTTATAATTGACCAATTTGATTCCCTTTGTCAGACTCCACACAGCTAGAGGATGGGAACAAGAAGGACTTGTCATTTGGTCCTTCTAGAGAAGCTGGAAGAAAGAAAAAAAATAGACAAAAAGGATTTATCCTGATATATCTCTATACTCATTCCCCAATAGAAGGAATCTGAGACAAGCTGGACTCAGAATTCTTTGTCTAAAGAAGAAGTCTGCTTGGAATACTTTGAATAGGCTAAATAAAATTTGCAGAATATGGATGAGTAGTTCCTTACAGCCCATGTGCAAAGCAGCTTTGTGATTCTTAAAACCAATCAGTGAACGTGTTTGATTAGCATAAAAAGAGAGCAGGAACTACAGTATCTTTCTTTTTTTTTAAAGACATTCACAGAGAGTAGCTATAGATGCTACCAAGCCTCTGATGCTGCCGTCATGAAGAGCAGCCTTGGTGCTTTCAGGTGTGTGCCATCAACACACACACACAGGCACACAGAGGGGTGGGAGGAAAGAGAAAGATTAAAAGCAAGTAAATGGAAACTGGGAATTAAAAAAAAAAAAAAAAAAAACTCTGATTCAAAAAGCACATTCTGGACATTTTGCCTCATCTGCCACACAAGGTGACTGATAGAGAGATGGGTGGTGTAGACACTGGGGTGTCAGTTCCTAGGGGCTATTTGGAAGCTAGTCCCGGGGAACGAGAAAGCCAGAGTCGGGGGACAGGAAGGGGGTGACAACGGCAAAGGGTGATGAACACTACCTTAATGGCTTGACGCTTTCCTGAATCACCAAATTTTCCTATTTTCTAGCATTTTCTGGCCTTGTAAAATCCCCAATGGTGAGAATACTATATTGCAAAGCATAACAGATCGATCAAGCACCCAGCACGAGGACCGCTCCATGAGTTTACGGCCCTAATGGCTGCCTCACAACAAAACACTCATTTAAACAGAGCACATGAGTCATAGCCAACTAACAAAAGAACCACCCATCTGTGCACATTGAGGAGAAAGAAGCTCACTGGAGAGTGCTGATGTGGACTGAAGCCTTGTCATAGGGCTTTCACTACAAGTGGAGCTGAAGCCCAGTGTCATCAACTCTAACTCAAATTTCCAGAGTTGAGGTTATTCCACAATGTTCTAAAGCCAGGCAGAGGCAGGTGGTGGTGCCAAGCTTTAAATTCGGTCTAAAGGCCGTCCAGCCAGGGCTTGTGTGCCAATGGTACCACACTGAAATGATAATCCTGTTGTCCAGGACTCTCAACCTACTTCCACATCATGTATTAAAACATTCTGATGACTACCACGTAATTCATCTAGATTGATTACAAGAACTATAACACTGTCTGTTACTCATGTATAAAATGTTGCAATGCTTAACTCAGCAATAATAATATCCAACAATTATTAAACACTTGCTTTAGGCCAGAAGTTGAGCTAAGTGCTTTTACATGTTTGACCTCTATTAATTCTCAGAACAACACTAGGAAGTGGTTTCTATTTTATTATTATCCCCACTTTACAGAATGAAAAATTAAGGGTTGAGAGGCCCATTCATTATCTCTTATTCAAGGTCATCACTCTTACCCAAGGTCACATAGTCAGTGAAGAAGGAGGGATTTGGACTTTAGAGATCACACACATAACCTCCATAGCATTGGTTAAAGGAGATGGAACCTGGGCTTTGAGTATCCTAGAGTTTTAATCCCCAGCCAGTGTGGTAAGTTCTTGTATACACAGGGTAAGGTCAATAGTACACAGCTCTTGCCTACAGGAATCTTGCATTCTGGGTTCACTCTGGTACT